TCCCTTTCTCTCTGAAATAGAAATATATTTTAAAAAGAAGATGACATTCTGAGTTTATTCCTTGTTCTTTATAATATAAAATAGATCATAATTCAAGTATTTATTGTACATCTATTGTTATAGGCACTCTTTGAAATGCTGAGAAATGAAGCAGTAAATAAACCATGCAAATCTCTCCTTTTATGGCACTTTCATTTCTATTTAAGTGATATATATGTAATATTTAGTAGTGCTGAAGAGATAAAGTAGGGGAACAAGGATAGGGAGGACTTAGGGTAATATGCAGCTTTTGCAGCTTCAATCATGGGAGATTTTACTGAGAAAACAGATTAGAATGAAGATCTTAGGAGATGAGGAAGTAAACATATATCGATAGAAATTTGGAAAGAAGAGCGAATTCAAATCCCCTGAGGGAGGAGTGTGCCTAGCAGACGAAGAATTTAAAAGAAGCTAGTCTGGCTGGATCACAGTGGGTGAGATTGGGGGTAAGGTGTGGAAAGCATAGCTGAAGATGAGTGAAAAGATCATTTAAACTTTAAATTTTAAAGCCTCTTGGAGGTGGTGGTGTATTACAATGACTTCAGGTATATTTTAAAGTTCAAACTAACAAAATTTGTTGATCAGGTTAAATGTGTGGAGTATGAAGGAAAAGGTGGATCAGTTGGAATGATGGGTCTGTGTTAACTGATATGAGGAAGGCTTTGCGAGTAGGAACAGGTTGAAGGTGACAGTCGTGCTAAGTTTGGGATGCTTATTAGATATTTAAAATGAGCTGTCAAGCAGGCAGTTATGAATAGAAGAGGCAAGATCGGGATAGATTTGTGCTGGATATGATTTTGGAGAAACTTCAAGTACAGAGTGTATTTAGTATAAATCAATTGTGCTAGATGAGATCACTACGGAAATGTATAGACAGGAAAGAAACCCTAAGAGCCCTGGCACACTTCAGCTTTAGGGTGTTGGGGGGATTAGGGAGGAATCAGCTAGGAGGTTGATGCCAGACAAATCTGAAAAGAGCACCCAGAGAGTTGTGGGTACAGGAAGCTAGATAAAGTCTTGTGAGGAGGCCTAGCCAGCTGGGTAAGATGTTATATTTAGGTCAAGAAAAATGAAGATTGCCCTAGCCAGCTTGGCTCAGTGGATAGAGCATCAGCCTGCGGACTGAAAGGTCCCAGGTTAGATTCCTGTCAAGGTCACAAGCCTGAGTTGTGGGTTCAATCCCTAGTGGGGGGCATGCAGGAGGCAGCCGATCAATGATTCTCTCTCATCATTGATGTATCTATCTCTCCTTCTCCCTTCCTCTCTGAAATCAATAAAGAAATATTAAAAAAAGAAAAAGAAAAATGAAGATTAACACATTGGTCATTTGATTTAACTATGTGAGGAATCATTGGTGACTTTTTTATTTTTTTATTTTTCTGTGCTCTTATCCAGACTTGGTGTTAAGTTTGTTTTTTGTTTTTAATTTCTTTATTGGTTAATTGTCCTCATCCCCCTATTCCCATCCTGAACCCCTCCCCATGTATGCCCCCACCTCCCTGTTGTCCATGACCATTGGTTAGGCTTATATGCATGCATACAAGTCCTTTGGTTGATCTCTCCTCTTTCCTCCACTCTCTCCTGCCTTCCCTCTGAGGTTTGAGAGTCTGATCGATGCTTCCCTGTCACTTGGTCTGTTTTTGTTCTTCAGCTTATGTTGTTCATTATTTCCCTTAGATTGGTGAGATCATGTGATACAAGAAATACACTTATAAGAATAAAAATGAGACAAGCCATAATGATTACTTGCCGAGAGGCAAATGAATCAGTTTGTAGTGAGTTTCTTTCTGGCCAACAGTTTTTTTTTGAGTCCCGATTTTAATGTCGAACATTTCTTTGTGTGTACATGTCAGCCATGATATTTCACTTCTGGGTGGTGGACAAATGGTAGTGATGCAGGTCCAACTGTCTCTGGTTTGGTCCTGGTCATCCTTCAGCAGCACACAGCTACTGTCTGCTAGTATGGCAAGGTGTTGTCAGCGTCTTCCATTTCTGGACTGTTTCTCTTCTGTCTTCATGGCATTGGTGACTTTAATAAACACGTTAGTGGCTAAGCCTGATTGGAGAATTGTGCTCAAGATAGGAGGGGAGAGATTGGAATCAAGCAGGTATAGATAACTTGAAAGAGGAGTGAAATCATGAGGCAGTAGCTGGTAGGGAGTCAGGTCAAAGTCAGATTCTTCTCTTACTGGGAGAAACCACAGCAAGTTTGTACAGTTTAGAGAAAGACCTACTAAAAGGGGAAAAACATGATTTAGGAGAGGAAAGAGATGCTAGAGCAATGTCCTTGAGTAGGTGAGGAGGAGTTAAGATCTAGTTCTTAAGAGGAGAGGTTGGCCTTAACCCAGAGTGATAGCCATTCCATCCATAGGGACAGGAGAAAAGGCAGAGCACAAATTTAATGAGTACAAATGCTACAGAGAAACTTCAGGAAGGTTTGGTTTTCTCATGAACTATTGAAAGCAAAGACATCAGCCAAAAGTGAGGATGAAGATGGAGAAGTCAGAGGTTTGGAACAAGGAGGAAGAACGTTACAGTTTTTTCCGAGAGAAAACTAATATGATAGTTGGGGACCAGTAAAGGTCCCTTTAAATTTTATCAATCTTAGAGACATAATTGGCATGGTTGTATATTATGTTTCTCTAGACCTGATTAGGAGGGGAGATTTTCAGTGGCTTTAAAACTAATTTTACTTTTTAAACAACTTGGTTTTTTTTATTTTTTAATATATTTTATTGATTTTTTTTTTACAGAGAGGAAGGGAGAGAGATAGAGAGCTAGAAATGTTGATGAGAGAGAAACATCGACCAGCTGCCTCTTGCACATCCCCTACCGGGAATGTGCCCGCAACCAAGGTACATGCCCTTGACCGGAATCGAACCCGGGACCTTTCAGTCCACAGACTGACGCTCTACCACTGAGCCAAACTGGTGTTGGCAACAACTTGGTTTTGATAGAGTTTTAAAAGGCAAGTTGCCTTAGCTATGTGGTAATCCTAGTGTTATTTCCCTCTCCTCCTCTTTCCTTTTAAGTATAAAATCAGTTTCATTAGTCTAATTTATCATTAACGTATTTGTAGACATTGTACCTGGCATGTATATGTCACCAGCATTTACTTGTAGTTGCAATAGCTGACTGATTATTTGAATGGCCTTTTCTGTGAACTTTGTGTTTTATAAGCTACATAAATACCCCATCAGGAGATAAGAAAGGTTCAGTTATGTTCAATTTTAAGAGATGAGCTTTCTAGTTTTTACATAGGTGTCTAAGTGACATTTGTTTCACAAATGTGTTATGTTTTTCTGTTGTAGGAAACCCAGCGTTTGCTGGCAGAACCAGTTCCCGGCATTAAAGCAGAACCAGATGAGAGCAACGCCCGTTATTTTCATGTGGTCATTGCTGGCCCCCAGGATTCCCCCTTTGAGGGAGGGACTTTTAAACTTGAACTATTCCTTCCAGAAGAATACCCAATGGCAGCACCTAAAGTACGTTTCATGACCAAAATTTATCATCCTAATGTAGACAAGTTGGGAAGAATATGTTTAGATATTTTGAAAGGTAAGTGTTACCATTATCATTATGCACTATTAAGATTTCTTCATTTTGTCTTAGGCATTCCATATTGAGAATCTGTACATTATAATCTTGCCTTATCCAAAGACCACAGAGGTCTGTGGGAGGGCAGTGCGGCAGTTCTGGGGCTGGTTATCCCTGTTTGATCATTCTGGGCCTGTTGCCTTCATAGATAAGTGGTCCCCAGCACTGCAGATTCGCACAGTTCTGCTATCGATCCAGGCTTTGTTAAGTGCTCCCAATCCAGATGACCCATTAGCAAATGATGTAGCGGAGCAATGGAAGACCAACGAAGCCCAAGCCATAGAAACAGGTATTTAATATTCTCTTTTACACCATCTCCACTTTTTAAACATACCTGTACTACCTTTAAAAAAAACTTCTTTTAGAGTCTTAACAAGAAAAAGGAAATATAAATTAAAGGGAATAAATCAGATCCTGCTTATACTATGTAAATAAATACCTCTTAACAAAAGATTTTCACGCTTGATCTTATGACCTACTTACTACGTGACCCCCAAGTTTAAAGACAACATGTAATTGGGAGATCTTGGACTCCTGTGTAACCACGCCTAATTTAACAAATACTGACTGTCTACCATTCATCTAGCAAATACACAAAGGTAATGGAAAACTTTTGAACTCTTTGAGCTGTTTTTGCAAGCCATTTTATTAAATTACATTGGTTTATGTAGCTAGGGACTTTGAAATCAATAAGCTTTTTCTACAGATTATAACAGAATTAGTGGGGATCATTATATATCTAGAAATGAAGGTGACAAAAGGAGATAATTCTTTTCATTCTGTTGAATTTTGTAGAACTTTTGGGAATTAAACATATACTAATAGACAATCTTTCTGTCCTAGTCCAGATTATGAAAAATAGCATGAATTTAACAGATAATAACATGATATTTCCATAATTAATATGAGAGTGTTTGCTTACTGTAGAGCTTGGAAAGTAACATTGAACTAAGTAAAATAATTCCATGTTTGTTTTTGTCTACAGCTAGAGCATGGACTAGGCTATATGCCATGAATAATATTTAAATCGATCTGATCATCAAATGTGCATCACTTCTCCTGTTCTGCCAAGTCTTCTTCCTTTTTTGTTTGCATTTAATGGACACAGTCTTAGAAACATTACAGAATAAAAGCCCAGACATCTTCAGTCCTTTGGTGATTAAATGCACATTAGCAAATCTATGTCTTGTCCTGATTCACTGTTATAAAGCATGAGCAGAGGCTAGAAGTACCATCTGGACTGTTGTGAAACGTTTAAAAGCAGTGACCCCTCTCTGCTTTTATTCATTTCTCCCCATCATGGTTTAAGTATAAAGCACTGTGAATGAAGGTAGTTGTCAGGGTTAGCTGCAGGGGTGTGGGTGTTTTTTTGAGGGGGTAAGTAGTTTAATTTTAATTTTATGGGCTCCTTTCCCCCTTTTTATGGTGATCTAATTGCTTTGGTTAAATGCAGCTAACCAGTTCTTTAGAATATGCTCCCTAGCCAAGTCTAACTTTATTTAGATTCTGTAGGTGGACAAGCTTGATTATTTGAACCAAAATGGGAACATTAAACAAACACCATGGCCCTCACAAATAACATTGTGACTTTGCTGTCAAATGTAGAATCCCTCCTTCAAGAAAAGCTTGTGACCATTTTGTATGGCTTGTCTGGAAACTTCTGTAAATCTTATGTTTTAGTAAAATATTTTTTGTTATTCTACTTTGCCTTTGTACAGTTTATTTTACTGTGTTTATTTCATTTCCCCAATGTGACAATTGTATTTAAAAATTAAACTAGTGAAATGTTCTGTTTTGGTCTTTACCATCCGACAAGTAGAATGGTAAGTGGTGGATTATGCTAGTTTCTTTCCACTGATGCAAATTTGTGTTATGATATCACTTAATGGAGTATTTTTAAGTTGGTTGTGAGCATGCATAAAACATCCATATCTTAACATTTTTTTACCTCCTTGAAATTTGAAATAAATGTGTTTGTGTTTGATTAGCTAGATGAGCATTGGTGTCTTGCCACAATGTTTGAAAATTACTGTACATGAGAGTCCCAGCAAATCAGCAGTGTGACTGACTTTGTTAGGACTTTCCCATGTTGTGCCACATTTGTGACAGGCATTTGGGTTATGACCCTTTCCTTAGTTCTTGTCTGAAAACTTCATGTAATCACTGATGGTGTTATTAGGAAACACCAATCTGATAAGCATTTGGGATTTGCTGAGACATTTGAGTCTTCCTAATAGACCCAAGGAGCAAATCTTAAGCTGCCAGTTTGCAGAAGTATCATCAGAAAGGCTTCATTTGAGAGTGTCAAATTCTCAATTACTTATTCTTATATTTATCCCTTTAGTATTTGCTATGGGAGCTCCTTTTATTTTTTAATTTGATATTCAGTAATTTTTTTCATCATTGACAGAGTCCTATGCCCCACAAAACTGTTCTTTCCCCCTCTCTATATCTAATTCTGATTGTTGTTATTTTGAAGTCATCAATGTAGCCAGTTCTAAGTATGTATATGTTAACCTATGGGTTGGAACCCTTATCTCTTGCAGTTTCAAGGTAATGGATATTGTAGCCCATCTGAATTTCCCCCACTTTTAATCTCGTAACTTTTGGAGTTTCTTCAGAATGTGGTGTATTTTATTGTGCTCCTATGTAAGATGAAGAATTATCTATTAAAATTACATTTTCAACATACAAAAGTTTTTTATGGCTGGTAACTGGTATCCTACTGAGTAAATGCATTGCTTGGAAACAAATATAAGTTTAATTCAGAATAAAATTGTTTATAACCTGAATATTGTAAATTTAAAAACTATTCTTAGGCTATTAGAGAGTGTTTTAGAACTAAGGAAATAATCTTATTCTTGGGCTAAAATGAATATTCAAGGTGGCACTGCTCATGATGATAGCTAGTCTCATAGTGAGTTATAATTCTAAAATTATACATTTAAATCTATTGCACTATAAAAATCTGTCTAAAATAGGACATGTCTACTAAGTTTGTAATAGAAGTAATGAAATGGAATAATTCAGTTTTCATTTCAAATATATAAATTCCTAATGTCTTGGCATTATGTTTTTTTCCTTTGTAAATTTGATGAATCCAGATTGTTTGGTAAAATCTGCTTTCTCAAGCTTTGGATTGAAACAAGAGTCAGTGTGTTCACTGAGCTTTCAGAGGATTTCAGGGAGAGGCCTACACAGGGTTTGTAGCTGTCTGGATTTTCGGCCTATTTTTCTTGGCTTCCACAGTGTGGTTGGTTAAACATTTTAAAGTCATTGCCAACATTTATGAAAATTGGGAATTTTAATAAAAATCCAGAATATTGGTAACTTGATCTTACTATCTGGCAACAGAGGACATGACCCACCTTTGCATGTCACTGGCTGGGAGGAAGTGGCAGCCTTGTCCTCTTATCCAGTGGCTCTGCAGTTGGCTAAAGTCTCTCCTGCCTCCTAGCACACCTGCTTCTTTATGCAATCCTGTTTTCTTAAAAGTCTTTGACTTTGTAACTCCTAAGCTTAAGGAAACAATTTATTTGACAAATAAAAGTCTTTAATGTATGTTCAAGACCTGACTATTTGTTGGGGATGAATAGAGCCTTTCTTTCCCTCATGGCCTTTTCTTCTTTTTTTTTAATAAGAAAATTTGTTGATTTTTTTTTTTTATATATATATATATATTGATTTTTTTTTTTTACAGAGAGGAAGGAAGAGGGACAGAGAGTCAGAAACATCGATGAGAGAGAAACATCGGCCAGCTGCCTCTTGCACACCCCCTACCGGGGGATCTGCCCGCAGCCAAGGTACATGCCCTTGACCGGAATCGAACCCGGAACCTTTCAGTCTGCAGGCTGACGCTCTATCCATTGAGCCAAACTGGTTTCGGCCCTTATGACCTTTTTAATCTAATGAGGGAGGACAATGGATAAATAGTTGCAGCTGTCTTGGAGAAGGGAAATAAGTTCTTGGGAAGGCTGCTCTTCTGGAGTCCAGCCACATGAACACGTCCAGGCAGGGGCAACAGCATGTGTGAAGTCCTGGGAGCAAGAAGGAGGATCTGCATAAACCAGGTGTACCAGTTAATGTGGATTTTATAATGAAAGAAAACACCATAATTTCAAGAGAAACACCAAAAGTGCTTTATTCAAAGTAATGTCCATTGCTAGCTACACATTTCTGCCATCTTTCAGGTAATTTGTGGATACAGTCCCAATAGAACTTTTCTTGTTTTGAGGCAATCCATTCAGAGACCCAATTTTCCACTTCTTTATACATTTTGAAGTGCTGCTCAGAAAGTGCATGTGCCAACAGTCAGAACAAGTGGTAATCTGAAGGAGCAAGGTCTGGTGAATACAACAGGTGGGTTAATACTTGCCAGGCAAGATCATTTAATGTGTCTTTAACTGGTTTTGAAGTGTGTCATGGTGCATTATCATGAAGCAAAATTACTTTGCAGTGTCTTCTGGCACATTCTGGTCGTTTCATGATCAAAGTGTGGTTCAAATGGATTACTTGTTGTCAGTAGCGATCAGTATTAACAATTTCACCTGGTTTTAGAAGCTCATCATACACCACACCTTTCTGATCCCACTAAACACGAAGCATTATCTTCTTTCCCAAGCGATTTGGCCTTGCAGTCTGTGTTGATGGTTGACCTGGCTCAACCCATGATTTTGTGCATTTGAGATTCTCATAGCTACTTTTTACCGCCAGTCATAATTTGATGCAAAAAAGACTTGAAGCAACATTTTATTGATGACTTTTCGGTTTTCTATTTGTCTTTCATTCAGTTGATGTGACACCAATTTCCTTCCTTTAAAATCATTCCAATTGTTTGTAAATGATCAGAAATAGTTTGATGAGCAAAGTTTTATCTTTCTGCAAGTTGTTTTTGAGTTTTGACATGCATCTTCATCCAATAATACTTATAATTGTTGGTCTTCAAACTTTTTCAGTTGACCCTGGACAATATTTGTATTTTCTATCGAATGCATCACTTTTAAAGTGTTTAAAACAGTGTTCACAAGTATCTTCAGATGGAGCATGTTCACCATAAGCTTCCTGAAGTAATATTCAGCAGCACTTTTCTTCAAAATAATGAATTAAAACTTCTCGCAGATGCTTTTTTTTTTTTTTTTTTGCATGAAATTTGACATTTTTAAGGGTAAAAATATGTTAATACCTTTAGGAAAGTTGACATAAGTTTTGAAGCTTGCTGTTAATACAAAAAAATAGCATACATATCAAATCACATATTTGTAACTCCATCTATTGGGTGGGGGGGGGGGGGAAGCATTATTAACCGGTACACCTGGTATAAGTGGCTTGAGTCAACTCTGTACAAACTCTGAGGTGTTGATATAGGAGCTTTGTATTACTTAATTTTAAATTTTGTTGTAATCTACTTTGTTGTGATTTGCTTCCATTGTAGTTCTCTGAGGCAGCCTAATAAGATCTTTGTCTGATACAGAACTTAAACACTGCTTTCGACTGAGATTAAATGTAAATACAAAAAGCACAGGTGGTGCTATGGTTTAGCACTGTTTAAGGAGAGTGTAGGGAGAGGGAAATCTGACATTCTAGAAGACATTATGAACACAGTTCTTGCTAAAAGAAACTAACTGATGTCATGGGAATGATAGGGATTTGGCTTTATATTTCTACTAGAGGCCTGGTGCACTAAATTCATGCAAGGGGGTTGGTAAAATGGAAATTAATGGTCGTTCTGCTGTTCAGTCTTATTAGCATATTAGCTCTTCATTATATAGGGTTTGATAACCCAGGAATCTTTTGGCTATTCTAACTACATCCATTTTTGTTGCAGTAACAGTTTAAAAATAGTCTTTTCTAGAAAAGCTACCTCTTCCCCCCAAATACCATTATATATAGAACAGCTAATTCATCAGTCTGTTTAAGGAAATGTAATAATTCATTGGAATAATGTATTTTGGGGCCTGGGGCAACAGTTCATTTAGCTATTTGGCATGCTGCTTAGTTTAAGGAATTAAATCAAGGATTTACTTTTTAAAAGACTTGATCAAAAAAACAAAACATATTGAAATAAATAGAAAGAATATAAAGACTGGTAATACTTTATTTTTGTAATTATACCCCCTGCATTAATTTCCATTTTATCATTGAGGTTGAAATTTGGGAGGATTGTTTCCAAGAGTTGGCTTTGCTGCAGCTGTTACAAATTGGGCATGTTCACATTGGCTGCAAAACCAGGAGTTGGACTACCAAGTTTTTTTTTGTTAAGTGTTGAGTTCAACATGAAGAGTTTGGGTCCTCCCTCCTGTCCCCAATTTCACCTTTGTCACCCTTCAGTTGCTCTCATTTTATATGGGCCTGAGACACTTAAAGTGTGTGAATGTAGACTTGCTACTGACTTGATAGAATTCTTTCAGTTTCTATTAGGTCTAGTAATAATTAATGTCGTTTTCTAATACTTTTTTAAATCGAATTTATTTAAACAATACAACAAAATTTAATCAACAATATAGTTGCCGTTGTTTTCTACTACTTGTGCCCAATGCTCAGGAAGCATTTTAATCCCTCTGTTGTAAAATTCTTGTGATTTTGATGCAAAAAATTCGGTCAATGCATTTTTGAGGCATTCTTCATTATTAAATTTTTTTCCAAGAAGAAAGTTTTGCAAAGAACGAAACAAATGGTAATCGGAAGGGGCAATATCAGGAGAATATGCAGGTTGAGGGAGAACTTCCCATTCCAACTGGCGCAGTTTTTCAGCAGTGATTCTTGCAGTATGCGGTCGTGCGTTATCGTGGTGAAGAATTACGCCCTTCCGATTAATTAGCGCGGGTTCTTTTTCTCTTAAAGCTTGGGCTAACCTTTCCAATTGGGCACTGTACACTGCACTTGTAATGGTTTGGTTAGATGGTAAAAGTTCATAATGAAGAATTCCTTTAAAATTTCACCAAACACACATCACTTTTTTCACATGCAAGTCAGGTTTTGGCGTGGGCTGCGGAGCCTCATTTTGGTCCAACCATTGAGGCCGCCTTTTCAAATTAACATACAGTACCCATTGTTCATCTCCGGTAACAATTTGCTCTAAAAACGGCAAACGGTTTTGACGAGAGAGGAGCGAACTGCAAATTGTGACTCTTTGATTACGGTTGTTGTCAGTCAACTCATGAGGAACCCATTTTCCAAACTTTTGGACTTTGCCAAGTGCACGCAATTGATTGGAAATTGTTTTTTGTGAACAATTTAAAGTTGTTGCAAGCTCTTGTTGGGTAATTTGAGGATTTTGCACCAAAAGAGCTTGAAGAGCTTCTTGATCAAAATTGGACACACGGCCTCGACCACTCTTGTCATCTAACAAAAAATTTCCCTTGCGAAATTTCTCAAACCAACGCTGGCATTTTCTGGCGCTAACTGCATCTTGACCAAGAGCACTACAGATGTTTTTTGCAGCCTCACTTGCTTTTCTTCCTAATTGGAACTCGTAAAGCATGCAGTGCCGAATATGCTCTTCATCCGCCATCTTCTTAGCCCTAGTTTTGCAACAAAAACCAAACCAGACACAAACTTTTTCAAGCAAAAGTTGTTAACTGCACTTCACACGTTCTGTAGATACCACGTGTTTGAAGGTTATGTCAATACAAGTCAACGCCAAGCAAGATTTTAAACGAATGTTGAAAAACGACATTATTACTAGACCCGATAGTTGTAGAAGCATATAGTAATCGCCTGAATAGTTAGACCTTACTAATGGTCTCCAGTTGGCAGAGCGACTGAAATTCTATTTATCTTGTAAAAGTACATTTTATTGTGCTCATTAAGATGCTTTAACATTTTACCTCCTCTAATCATTGGGTCAAAACATGTTTTAGAAGACTGATAACCTCATGTTCTTACCAAGAATAAGTATTTACTTTTTATACACTCCTGAACCATTTTCATCGACCACATGATTCCTTTTGAAATAATTCCACCATCTAGGTTAGTAAATTCCAGTAGCTTAAATGTCCTTATAACCTAACCTAGCAAGTTTACAAAGTAGACAAGACTTAGATCAGTCCAAAGCAGCTTATACACGTTAGAATGGTTGCACTAAGTTTATGAATTTGTGTTTTCCTTCAGTTTTGGCAGGCAACCAAGGGCCACATTCTTGCAATCTACTTTTCCCTTCGAAAGCTAAGTATTTTGGGCTTTGCAGGCCATGGATATGTCTACAGTAAATTACTCAGCTCTGCTATTGTAGTGAGAAAATGTCCATAGACAATTTTAAACAAAGAGGCTTCTGCACTCTAAAACTTCAATTTTTACATGTCGCAATCACTGAATGTTAACATTCTAAGTTTCTGGGCTGTTAAAAATAGGTTGGGGTTACGTTTGACCTATAGGTTCAGCTTATTTCCTCCTTGGCAGTGACTGGTAAGTCACTGCTATAATGTTAGAAGCAAATGTGTCAATACTTTCCCTTTTAAAAAGTGATACATTTCTGTTACTCCCCATAACAATTAGATGAAACATTTGTATAAGTTTCTTTCCCTTGATTTTTTGATAAATGTATAGATCAGGTCGTTAGCCCATTTTTTCATGTAAGATTATTGAACATTGTCACTTAGAAAGTTTCAACATTTCATTTAAAAATAAAATCTGAAATATGTACAATCTTTTAAAAAAGTGAGCTTTAAACAGGTAATGCTGTGTAGTGATTTTTAAAATCAGTTACTAAAAGGACCACCTGTGGCAGTGTAATTTGATAGTGATGTTGACTAGAGGACCATAACTTACCCTCCATTTGCAATTCAAATTGATGAATTTAATAAATCCTACGATATACATCTTTGATCACATTTTGTGCAACTTGAGGTTTCTCCCAAAGATGGAATTATTGGGTGAAGGGGTTACATTTTATGTCTATAATAGTACATTATATGGACATATTCTATAATAGCTAACCATTACCCCTTTAGGCAGGCCTGAGCATTTTATTTTCACACCTTACCATTTTAGTTGCCTTAGTACATAAATCTTTAACATTTTTGGAGATCTTGTGTAGTTGATTCATTAAAATGTATGTTTAAGTTTCTTGGCAGACATTGATAGCCAAATCTTATTTCACTAATTTGCATGAATTTGAGTAAAAGTTGAAAAAATAAATATGTGCTTGGCACTGACATTTAATAACCAGGAAATGTGATGTCCATATTAAGAAGAGTAACTTGGGGTCACAGTTAAAATTACATCAAATAGAGGCATTTGAGACTATTTTATGGCAAAAAGACATGGAGGCTTTGAGTAAATTTGGGCCTTTGCTCTTAAGATAGGCGAGGGCCTTCTATCTTACTCCTCTAACTCAGCCAAGGGCACTAGTCAGGAAGGTATTGAAAATAAAGCAGCACCAAGGATAAAATCACTTTTCTACCAAATTGCAACATTGTATATGGAGCTGTGGAGCAAAGTATTTGGTGGGGGAAATCTTGGTTTCAAATATTACTTTTGAAGATGGTGCATGTAAGTCTTTTAAAAATAAGACATTTTAAGAACTTCTGATGGGTAAACAACTAGCTTAATCTCTATTCCACTAAATATAAGTTCCTTGGGGGCAGAAACTTGTTCTGTGCTATATTGCATCAACACCAGGAATAAAGCAGATCCTGAAAATTGTATGGGTTAAGAATTTGTGTTAGTTGGAAACTTTGAGACAAAACCAACTATGGAAACATTCTAGCTATAACAAACTGATAAAAATTATACTTTAGTAAATCAACTGTTTAGCCCTGTCACTTTGTCTACAGAATTCTGCTTCAAGAGACCTGTGAAGAATTTTTGCATTTCAGTGAAAACAATACTGGAAAATGCCAAACTTTGTCTTTGTCTACAATTTTTTTAAAAAAAAATTGGGAGGGAGAAAAGGATAGAAACATCAATGATGAGAATCCTAGATCGATTGGAGATCGAGCCTGCAACCTGGGGCATGTGCCCTGACCAGGAATTGAACTGTAACATTGACCTGGCTCATAGGTCAATGCTCAACCACTTAGCCACACCAGCTGGGCTCCTTTCCTATAATTTAAACGAGACTTGAGTAGAACTTTTATGTAAGGACTCTAAAGTTGGTTTTGGTTGAGGAAATATGGCTGGCAGGGAACCTGTAGCCAGCTTCCCATTTAAACAGTAAAATTAAAATGATGGTATTGTGTAGAAAGCATCTGTAACACTTCTGAGTGTTATGAGTGCAAAATACAGAGTACATCAAGAGCTCCTGAAAATCATTTAAATAATTATAGCAGAACCCGGTTAGGGCAGGGGAACAGTGCTATAAGACAGCCATAGGGCTATTGTGTAAGATGGGAAATATCTATTGGGAGAGTAATGGCAACATTTTATTGGTGACCAGCTCCTTTTATAACCCAGTTAATCATAAAGGGGAAGTGTATTCCTGAGAACATATATGACCATCAGTGGGAGAAAAGTAATGTTACTGTGGGGTGCAAGACGAAGTTTTTTCTTGGTCTTATATTTAAAAAAAAAAAAAAAAAGATGCTTTATTTCCATTTTTATTTGATGTTTCCAAATATATATATATAAAAAAAGTCAAGATTCTTACACCAATTATCTCAATGAGACCATGCAAAGCAATTCAAGTGTATTCAACAATCACCCCCCTTCAGTTTTGTTTCTTTATACAACTGTGTGGTCAACACCGGAAAATTGAATAGCTGTCTGGTTGGAAAATTTCACCTGTAACAAAAACCAAAAAACCAACAACATGCAGGCTAGTTGCTACTTTGTGTCTGCAAGTCACTTTACAAACTTATTTTAATTAGGAGGCACATGGGACTGAAAATTTTAGCTGTCGCTGTCCAATTTTATCCAAGTACCCCACAGAAAGTACAAATGACAATCCCACACTTCCTTTAGAGGGTTGAGATAAGTAGACACTTTGTTATCCATAGTAGATTCAACTGTTGAGCCTGAAAACGTAGGCTTTTTCTCTGAACAGAAATAAATCCTGAGGGCCCTTCCTTTAATTTTGCTAGAACCCTTCCTTTAAGGGTTCTAGAATAGCCAAGAACCCCTCATGAAATTTAAAGCATGAAAACTATAAATCTTCTGTTGTATCATTCAATTTTACTATTGTAGTTGCATAGACTAAAGATAGCTGGTTTGCTAAATGGCACTGAAGAAATCCTGACTCGAGTGGCACTACTTCATCCAAATGTTTCTGACCAAAGAAATTATACAACAATATTTATAGGCTCACTTTTAAGAGATGGCTGACATTAATACTGTACATATTTTACAGGTCAAATACATAGTCTAAGAGTTTATAAAATAATTTCATGCATTGTTAACTCTCAGAATGTCATATACAAGATACCCACTCCCCCTCCCCACAAGCACTGTGACAGCATTTCAGGTGAACACATTCCTATATACAAAAACAATCCAGTTTCTCTGCTGTGTTAAGTCTGTAATTTAAAGAAACTTCAGAGATTACTGAGAACAAATATCTTAGAAATCTTAGTCCATTTAAGATTGATAGAAAGTGTCAATCTGTGGAATTTAAACTCCCAGAATACATAACCTCTGTACAAAGAAAAACAAACATTCTGGATGATTGTGTTTGACCACACCACATAATTTAGAATGAAGTGTCAATGGTTAATTTACTCATTCCTTTGACAGCATTAATTTGTGAACTAATGTTTATATCTAGTTCATCTGCATTTATGGCACAAGATCTCATTTTATAAAGTGGCACCAATTTTCCTCAAGTGTAACAGCACTCTATTTTTAGCAGCAATTATATTTTTTAAGGTTAATAATTTGTAGGACAAATGTATAACTATACTTATTTTCTACTTTATATTCACCAGTTACAATATTTACAAAAGGCTAATGTCTACATACAGAATGATCTTGCCTTCATCCCCTACCCCACATCTTATTCAAAGGTTTTATTCCTGGCCTGTTTGGGGGAAATAAGTTTCAGAAAAGGTACCTATATATTTTAGATAGGATTCTTGATTTTAATATATAAAGACAAATATAAGACACAGTAATTTTTAGTTCTGGTATGTTCCAGTGCCCCAAAAGTATGTGATATGATAAATAGTACCTCTTGACAACCTATAAAAGATTAGACATTCTAAAGGTACCCTAACAACCTAAGTCTGTAACAGCTGAACAGCAAGAAGGCAATTTTAATTGTGAAGCCGTCATCACTGACTGGCATTTGAGGTTATAGATTCCAAACCTAGGAGGATTGGTTATCGGTGACCAAGTTTGAAGAGGTGTCACTAAATTCAAAAACTGAAAATATATTTTTAAAAAGCAATTTACATTGAGGGAAATTTAGTTCTCAGATATTTGGTGTAAAGAGATTATGGATAAAAGGAATTGGCAATTGGGTGTGCTAACTCAAATGCCATAAATCCAGATTTCATGATAAGATGAAGTATTTGCTACATGTGTTTTGCTTACAATACCTCTCTAAAAATTGCCAACTCTAATAGTTAAAATTTTGTGTTAAAGGGCTATTGAGCAATGTTAGCGACATAATATCAGTTGTAAGAATGGAAACAAATTAGTTGGCAAATTCCTGAAAATAGCAAATTAAGTCCTTTGTCAAAATATTGGGCCATAAAGAAATATTCCAAATATGAAATTTATGAATTAAAATTGATACTATGAAAAAGTTTTAATATCAAGAATTATTTTTGCAAATTCCCACAACAGAAGGATTTGTTGAATACATTAATGCTGTGAATGAGAAAACAAATTGGGGGGGGTAAAACATACCCACAAGTAAGGTGATCTGACAGAAACCACTGACTGACATCAAATGGAAGAAAAACTGGAAAAACAAAAATGACAACCAAAATAACACAGAGGGTGGGAGGGTCCGGGCACAGTTAAGGCATCTAAAAAACAAACAAACAAAAAAAACTCCACGTGGCTTTGGCTTATTAAAATATTTTACACTATTAAAAAAAAGATACAAAGCATCTGAAAAACATGCAAATTGTTTGAAAACCTTGTATGGCAAATTCAGACAGTTTGCAAGCGTCATTCAGATGTTTGCCAAGGAAAATGGAGAAGCCTCTCCCCATGAGGTTGCACATTCTATCTTATAGTAGATGGCAAGCCAGGGGTCTGTGCAGCAGTTACAAACAAGGTGTTATTATCTGGAAGAGAAGGGACTGTGGAATTTCCATTGGATGGAGAACAACCCAGCTTCAGTTTTTCCAGATACTCTGCATGTACAGGCTTATGACATTGGAGAACTTTGATAGCATCTTCTACTTTGAACCACTCTCTCTTCCTTCCTAGAAAACAGTAATGACATTGGTTACTATACAATAAAGTCAAATTTAAAAAGTAAGCCATACCCTGTAAATAATGTTCCTCACTCTTCCTTCACAAATGACTATTTTTTTGGAATGGCTTAGACAACAGTATGTTGAAGAGTTTTTAAATAATTCAAATATTGATCTTCCCTTCAATATTTGGTTACCTAAAAGAAAGGTAACAAAAAATAACTTAAGATGAAAATTGGACATAAGTATGCAGAATTTTTTTAAAAAAATATTTTTTTATTGATTTCAAAGAGGGAAGGAGAGAGATGAAGTGGGGAAGGGGGAGGGAGGGAGGTGAAGGGAAGGGGGGGAGAGAGAAATATCAATTGATTGGCTGCCTTCTGCATGCCCCTACTGGGGATAGAGCCCACAACCCAGGCAATATGCACTTCACTAGAATAGAACCTGGGACCTTTCAGTACGCAGGCCCAGGCTCAAACCAGCTTGGGCATGTATGCAGTATTTGAATTAAGAGAATTCTGATAGCAAAAGGAAAAGGAAACTTACCTATATTAACAGAATCTTCCCAATCTTCTAATATTTCAGTGACAGTAAGAACGTAGACATATGTTCTGTGCTTTCGGTCTTGGTTCTGCTTGAATGTAAAAAGAAAAGCATTTTAATCTACAGGAACTAGTCATGTACATACTTTTAAGGGGAAAACAATCAGTTGTAGCACACTGCTGATTAGCATAGCCTATTCACCAACATGGGCAAGTATACTCAGTTGTATAATCCAGCACAGAAGTGAGTTTATGTAAGACAAAACATTAAAGGGGTGAAATTAGCTCCCAGTACTAAACTTTTAGCACTATGACTTCTGTCAGGTAAGTAATTAAAAGAACTACATTCCTATCATTTTTTAAGGTTCTATTCCATGAGGCTAATACTGATAGCCTTTCCACAGCACAGAAAACTACTTCCCTCACGACCTGTAGAGCAGTATGTCCTGTTAGTTCAGAGCATTCCCTTCAGAGGTTTACAAGACACACAAAATGCACAGCTCTGCAAACTTAGTCTAGGCTTCTCAATCTTGGTCGCCCATTATATCACCCAGGGCAAATGGGTTGAGACACCAATTTAGTTAGTTTGAATCAGGCCTAGGTATTTAAAAGCTTCCAGATGAACTATACACAGCCAAGGTTGAGAATACCTGGGTCAACCCAATCATGGAACATTATTTTTAGTCCTATATTCAACCAACTTTTCCCATATTAAAACTGCCACCTAGTCTTGTCTCTAGGTTCAAAATTAAACACAAGTTGGCCTTAAGACAAAGGGGCTCACATTCATCTTAACTAAAGTTAGCCTTGTTTGGTACGGACTAAGACTAGAGATAATTGCCCTAATTTTTTCTACCACAAATAACCCGAGTAATCAAACAATGTATTTTGTCTTTGAAAAAGAATAAGAACAACAATAAAGTAGAGGCATCTCTCACAAACATTACTATTCTTTATTAAGAACTTGTTAACTCTGTGCCTGGCAAATCAGTATCTTTATTATGCTATGATCACAAATTTATTGAAGTCACCAGGATGAATGAGTAAGGCCATTCTAATTTTGTTATATTTCCTAAGGGGAAAGGATACTGATTATCATTTTCTGTTCAAATTCTATAAATTTTAAATTGTATTTAATAAAACAGTAAAAGCATTTAATACCATTTACCTTTCCATGTTATATAAACATTTGTTTATATGTGAGAAGTTTTCACCCTAGCCAGTTTGGCTTAGTGGATAGAGCATTAGCCTTTGGTTGCAGGTTTCCCAGCCATGGTTGGGGTACGTGCAGGGGGCAACCAAATCCATGTGTCTCTCTCACATGGATGTTTCTGTCTCTTCCTCTTCCTTCCACTCTAAAAGTCAATGGAAAAATATCCTCGGGTGAGGATTAACAAAAAAAAAAAAAAGAAATAAAAATAAAATGAAACGTAATGTGAGAAGGTTTAAAAATCTTGTCAGCATATTGACAAATGTGCTCTTTATACTATGGCTATTCAGAATTATAGAAAAACTCAGTATGTTTTTTAGTTTAACCAGGAGAAAGTGCTATTTAACTGTGCAAAGCAAGTGCTGAATTCTGGGAAAGTTTGAACATTATCTTAAGAACTTTACTCTTTTTGATATTAAATTGGTTGGGGTGACACTGATCAACATGATGGAACTTTACTCAACAATTACTATATTTTGGGAAGCAATTCTACCAACTACTGTACAATCAGAATTTTTTCTAAATTCCTATAAGAAGGCTCACAAATAAATTTTATGATTCTATCAAAAGGACTGAGCTACCCTTAAATAGTGTCTTGGGGGAAACAATCAAATTGTATCTGGTATACCATCTATCTAGGCTTGAATCATGGGTGAATATCTATTTGAGAATAGCGTGGGCCTCATGACTTGACCACATTTCCCCCTACTTTCCACAGACTACCACTTCCAAATTCCCTCCCCATAAATTCCATTCCGCATTCAGTAATAAAGGATTATATAGATGAGAATTTTATGCTTTTAGCACCTGTTCTATGTATTCTCACACAGGATGGTCATTCTGTATATCATCTAATGTTATATGCTGATGGTAAGGATACATTTCCAGACATTCTTCATAAGAGATTTAAGCCCTTAGGTGATACTGTACCTCCTGAAAAAATCTATACCTAAACAGTATCCAGTGAACCAAGAGATAAGTGTTTCTCCATCAATTCCATTGTATTGTCATAATATGCTGTATATAACTAACAGTACCGGCAAGTTAAGTAGTTTTTACTTCCCTCCCTCCTAATGTTTATGACTTACTTTCCTACTGACAGTTTTAAAGGAAGAAATTATTAATTCTCTTACCAGCAAACAAAGGATTTTTTTTTTTTTTTTTGAGAAAGAGAGAGAGAGAGAGAGAAGGGAGGGAGGGAGGGATCTATGTAATAGAGAAACAGTGATTGCTTCCTTCCCACATGTGCCCCAACCAGGGATCAAACCCGCAATCTGGGTGTCCCCTGACTGGGAATCAAACCCTCCACCTTTTGATGCACAAGAGGACACTCCAGCCAACTGAGCCACACCAGCCATGGCCCCAGGATTACTTTTGTAACTCACCTCAAATATGCCTAGGAGTCTGCCCAATTTTCCTTTGACTCCAGCCTATTGAAAAAAGATGAAATGTAAAAATGTTACCTTTTATAACAAAATTGATATGAAAATTACTTTCAACTTTTAAAACTACACACATTAGCCCTTTCCACACTAAGCATCCTTCTGTAACTTTTTGGATGTGCTGAGATTCACGACCTGTGGTTTGCTACAATACATTCATTTGCTCTATATGCAACTTTCTGTTGATCAGACATATTGCCACTTATTAAATAAGAGATGGCAAGAGCTGACCAAATATTAACTCCTTACAAATTTTGGACAAACTTCCTGAATGAAAACAGACTTTTCTCTGTGAACTGATAAATACTCCTTCCCCTTCTTAAATTTAGCCCAATCTTCCTTTAGTAACACACCTCAGGAGGTACAATTCCTTCTACAGGCAGAGTCCTTATTACGGTTCCCAGGAGTGACTGGAATGTCAGTGTGAACTAACAGACTGGTACATGCTTCTCTATCTCAAATGTGTTCTTCCCTTAGGAAGCCACTAATCCTTCAAGACCCATTTCTATGAAACCTCCAACTATACACCAAGGCACAATGAAAGCTTTAGCATTACTTTCCCATTTATACTCTTAACTGCTGTTCAATAACTTTTTGTGGCATTTCTATGCTGTTTTGCTTGTGAGTAAAAGCAAGTGGTATTATATATCATCACGTGTAAGACGGCAAGCAGGTCATGCACTATTTTGTTTTGCTTTATTGAACTTTCAGACAAAACAAGTAAAATAAAAAAATGTTACTTATTTACTTGAAAAAGAATCATAGCATATGATCAACATCTCTTTGTTTTTGCTCAGTGTAATACTAACTTTGCTCTGGGCAAGGCCATCGTGTTATATATTGATCACTGATCAGACTTATTATTATGCAATTCCATGTTCCAGATTGATGTTAGCTCTATTTTACCAGGTAGAAAAATATATATGCTTAGCAAAATGCTAGATATAGCCACATGCTTTAAAACATTAAACTAGGCAACAACAACAACAATAAAAAAATCACCTATGTGACCTGCCTTCTTGACTTCTCCTTAGTGTATGTAACAAGTCCCTTGTTTGTGAACCAGAAGGCTGTCTGTAAAACCCCAAAATACAGTTTATGTGAAGAGAAAATACAAATTATTGTTCACCTCACCTCTTCATAAACCTCCCTCACGGCAGCACCGCCAGGCTCCTCCTCGGGCTCCATTCCTCCTCCTGGTACAATCCATTGGTCTGGGTACCGACTGCTGCTCACCAACAGCACCTGAAAGAACCACCATAACCATATATAAGCAACATTCTAAATCCTTATAGATTGTAAGTCTCTCCTAGACTAACCTACTTTTAAATTTCATTAAAATTATTAGAACACATTATAGCACAAAAAAGCAGTTGACAGTCTTTGTAAACACCATCTCTGAATTCAGAATCCAACAATAACAAGATCTTACCACTAAATAATTCTTACCTAGTTAAATCATGTAAGCTGTTAGATTCAGTTAGTAAAACTCTAATTTTTATCAACAAAGGATAAAAGCAAGAGATTTAGTATTTTAGCACCAGGGCTCTACACCCTGAGCCTTATGGTCAGATTCATTATTCTTCAGTTACATTATCTTACTATTTTTCCAAATGTAAGGATATGTAAACCATAGGCAGGTCACCCTATTCTTTCATCTATAAAATGTAAGAATATTCATAAGATAACAGATGCTGTGAGAAAGGAATATGGAAATTAATGTAAAGCCAATGCTGGGTACATAAAGAATTCTTACTACCTTTTAGGCTTTTTTTTCTTAAGATTAGACAGAGCCCCCCCTTCATATTCTAAATATATATGTTAGAAAAAGTTGCTCCATTTGATAACAGGCAGTTTTAATTTATGATCTAGCAAAGGGTTGTCAAGCTATGGCCTACTGCCTGTTCTTATACAGTCTGTGAACTACAAATGATTTTTACATTTTTAAATCATATGAAATTCAAATTTCAAATATTCATAAGTAAAATCTTATGAGAATCCAGTCATTCATAATTTACATATTATTTGTGAATGTTTTTGTGCTACAACTTGACTTGAGTATTAGTGACAGAGATTATATGGCCCACAAAGCCGAAAATATTATCTGGCCCTTTACAGGAAAAGTCTGTGGACTCCAGTCAAGAACATCATTAAACTTGAGATGTTCAAACACTTAAAAAAAACACACAACAGCCATTATCACAATGTATCTTAGAGGCTCACTATTTTTAAAATTTTCAGGTTTGTAGTACCTGAAACAAGTATTATTACATATACATCTTATAAATGAAAAATTTGTGAGCTAAGTTAGGTTGAAATTCACCCGTCAAAAAAAAAAAAGTCTGATAACCAAATGACGTTTATTAAGATAACAGATGTCTTAACTGACCTGAAAATTACCTTAGTATATTGCCTTCAAGTAAATATAAACAGTTCTCACAAGATAAATCAATTTAGAGCAAAGTTTAATCCCCTGTGTAGGTCCTGATTTTTTGACATGCGTGCCAGTTGTTCTCTCTGCCCAGCTCCCTCCCTCACCAGAGGAACTGATGGCCTGAGGAGTTCACAGCACAATATTCACCTCCTACTTGAGTAAGTGGCCAGCAACTCAACCTGCCCCAACTGTAAAGTTCCAGGCTGACAGTAGTTCGGCAACTGCCAGCTTTCCCCTAAAACCTCTAAAATGTTGAAGTAGAAGATATGGTAATACGAATTCAGGCACATAACTTCAATTTGAAAAAAGCAGACAACTTTGCTGATGGACACACCATCACCGCAGAACAGTGACCAAAGCCTTAGCTAAAACAGAAAATACTATTGGCTGACATTGAGGATACCACCATATCCAAATACAGCAATTTTGGTGAAATAAAATGAAATGTCTTAAATGTTAGCTTTCTTAAAACAACAAAAAAAATCATTAAAACAAAATTTATCTCATAGAGAAAGGGAGAGGGAGAGAAAGAAACAAGGATGAGAGCAAATCACTGACTGCCTCCTGCACACCCCCCACTGGGGATAGACCTGAAACCAGACATGTACCCAGACGAAGAATCAAACTGTGACCTCCTTGTTCATAAGTCAACACTTAACCACTGAGCCACACCGGCCAGGCTAAGCTTTCTTAAGTATTAGTAAATAGGGCTTACAAATCAAAATTGGAATTAAAGAACCAGAATAAGCAAATCGAGCAAGAACCTATGGTATTCAAAGGGTCTGGCGCTAGCCCTACCCCTAGCCAGTTTGGCTCAGTGAATAGCACATTGGCCTGCAGACTGAAGGGTCACAGGTTTGGATTTTGGTCAAGGGCACATCCTTTGATTGCAGGCTTTTCCCCCTACGAATGAGGGAGGCAACAAGTCAATGTTTCCCTCCTTCTCCTTTCCACACTCTAAAAATCAATGCAAAAATATCCTCAGGTGAAGATTAACAACAACAAAAAAGGCTTTCACCCCATTATCAAGACTGGCAAATGAATGTAAGTTTTTAAGTTAAAACAAAAATGTTGCCGAAACCGGTTTGGCTCAGTGGATAGAGCCTTGGTCTGCGGACTGAAAGGTCCCAGGTTCGATTCCGGGCAAGGGCATGCACATTGGTTGCGGGAACATCCCTGGCGGGGGGGTGTGCAGGAGGCAGCTGGTCGATGTTTCTCTCTCAACATTTCTAACTCTCTATCCCTCTCCCTTACTCTCTGTAGAAAATCAATAAAATATATTTAAAAAAAATGTTTTAAAAAAATGTTTAAGGTACACACAAGCATTATATCTTGCAAAAAAATAAAAATAAATGGTAACTACTGGTTCTGACTGCAGAGTTGGAGACCTCTTTTCCTCTGCTGGGTTAGGGATAATCTGCTTTCTATTGCCTGGATGAAATTCTTACTACACAATTCTATGCTGTCTAAGCAACTTCCTTAATTACCTTCATAATGGAACAAAATTGTACAGGTGGCTAGCCACCAGAAAAGTTCATCTTCATTAGTAAATAGATGGTTTCAAAACCATAGATATTCATGTTTGAGTCCTAAAAACATAAAATTCAGTGTCATATATCTATGCCAATGGCTGTCATATTCTCACTCGAGGCCCAGTGTACACTAGTGGAATCCCTCTGCCTGGCCTGCAGACATCCCCTGAGGGGACTCAGATTGGGAGAGGGCGTAGGCCAGGCGAAAGGACTCCATGGGAGCATGATCGGGGCTGGGGAGGAGGATCCACAGGAGGGCTCCAGGGTGTGTCCAGACCCATCTTGTCCAGTCCTTTCAGCCAGACCCAAGCAGCAAGCTAACCTACAGGTTGGAGCATCTGCCCCCTTGTGGTCAGTGAGCGTCATAGCGACTGGTCAAAAGATCAAATGGTTGGACACTTAGCATATTAGGCTTTCATTATATAGGATTTGTCCAAGATAAAAGCTAAATTACATAAGATTAAAAATGTAGGAAAACCCCATTAGTATAGTCTGCATCTGCTTTTCTGAAACTAACACTTAAGCTTCCAATTTAATACCAAATCTTTATCTATAGGACATCATTAATATGACTAAACTTCTCTTCCAAAGTCAGTGAACCTGTATGGCTCAACATCTCCCTTCATAAATTACCGTTTAGAAAGCCTCAAGAAAACAGGCCAATATATGTTTTGGACAAATGATTTAGCTAAAACCAAGAACTTATTGTGCACTGACATTCCAAAAATGATTAAATTGAATCAAACTATTAACTTAAAATCAGCTTTCAAAAAAAAAAAAAATCATGCCTTAACTGGTTTGGCTCAGTGGATAGAGCGTCGGCCTGAAGGGTCCCAGGTTTGATTCTGGTCAAGGGTCTAGTAATAATTAATGTCGTTTTTCAACATTCGTTTAAAATTTTGCTTGGCATTGACTTGTATTGACATAACCTTCAAACACGTGGTATCTACAGAACGTGTGAAGTGCAGTTAACAACTTTTGCTTGAAAAAGTTTGTGTCTGGTTTGGTTTTTGTTGCAAAACTAGGGCTAAGAAGATGGTGGATGAAGAGCATATTCGGCACTGCATGCTTTACGAGTTCCAATTAGGAAGAAAAGCAAGTGAGGCTGCAAAAAACATCTGTAGTGCTCTTGGTCAAGATGCAGTTAGCGCCAGAAAATGCCAGCGTTGGTTTGAGAAATTTCGCAAGGGAAATTTTTCGTTAGATGACAAGAGTGGTCGAGGCCGTGTGTCCAATTTTGATCAAGAAGCTCTTCAAGCTCTTTTGGTGCAAAATCCTCAAATTACCCAACAAGAGCTTGCAACAACTTTAAATTGTTCACAAAAAACAATTTCCAATCAATTGCGTGCACTTGGCAAAGTCCAAAAGTTTGGAAAATGGGTTCCTCATGAGTTGACTGACAACAACCGTAATCAAAGAGTCACAATTTGCAGTTCGCTCCTCTCTCGTCAAAACCGTTTGCCGTTTTTAGAGCAAATTGTTACCGGAGATGAACAATGGGTACTGTATGTTAATTTGAAAAGGCGGCCTCAATGGTTGGACCAAAATGAGGCTCCGCAGCCCACGCCAAAACCTGACTTGCATGCAAAAAAAGTGATGTTGTGTGTTTGGTGGAATTTTAAAGGAATTCTTCATTACGAACTTTTACCATCTAACCAAACCATTACAAGTGCAGTGTATAGTGCCCAATTGGAAAGGTTAGCCCAAGCTTTAAGAGAAAAAGAACCCGCGCTAATTAATCGGAAGGGCGTAATTCTTCACCACGATAACGCACGACCGCATACTGCAAGAATCACTGCTGAAAAACTGCGCCAGTTGGAATGGGAAGTTCTCCCTCAACCTGCATATTCTCCTGATATTGCCCCTTCCGATTACCATTTGTTTCGTTCTTTGCAAAACTTTCTTCTTGGAAAAAAATTTAATAATGAAGAATGCCTCAAAAATGCATTGACCGAATTTTTTGCATCAAAATCACAATAATTTTACCACAGAGGGATTAAAATGCTTCCTGAGCGTTGGGCACAAGTAGTAGAAAACAACGGCAACTATATTGTTGATTAAATTTTGTTGTATTGTTTAAATAAATTTGATTTTAAAAAAGTATTAGAAAACGACATTAATTATTACTAGACCTACTTTGGTTGCTGGCACATCCCCAGTAAGGGGTGTGCAGGAGGCAGGTGATCAATGTTTCTCATAGATGTTTCTCTCTATCCCTCTCCCTCTCTTTAAAAAAAACACAATACATTTTTAAAAAGTTTTAATTAAAAAATGATCAA